ATCCTCTTCTCCCCTCAAAATCTAATCCACAGCTAAAGATGATGGGGACAGAAACTTCCTGATCTTTTACCTTGTGTATAGCCACATTGGATGTTTTGCAAAAACTTCTCCTTCTCCCCTCCCTTGTTGCTGTCACAGTGCAAGGACAATGCATTGCAAGATGTTTCTTCCAACAGGAGAGGAATGCAGGCCAGCCACAGCTTCTCAGGCCGGAACGTGTTTAACAGATATGTGGCAGTGGAAGGAAAGAGGCTGAACGAGGGTTTGTCTGCTGCTCCATTTGAAAATGCATATGGGTACAAGGGAGTGAAGAGCAGAATTTCAGCCTAAGCTTTGGAGGGTTTTCTGTTTTAAACCAAGCTGTACAGTGATTTACCTGTTGCTAAATGCTGTGGCGGCACGGTAGGATAGACGAAACAGTGACACTGCACCTGCAGACAGTAGGGCGAGGGGATTCGTAGCTATTCAGATGACAGGAAAAACAGCTGCATGCTTTCTTGTCCTCTGGGCTTACCCATGGATGCTGGGTACCTTGCACTGAAGAGCCATGTCTCTGCCATGGGTTCTTTGCATGCTTTTAAGGCACAGGGATAGCAGCAGAAACAAAATCATTTCATACGTGTGTATCTGACCAAATTCTCAATAATCCAGAAGGGCAGGGAGTTAAAACCAATGGCAACTAAGTGTCTATGCCCATCTGGTGTGCCTGTGCTCTCTATTTCCTCTGGTAAATCATAACAAAACATGAACTCATTTCTTAAGAGTTTAGCTCTTGTAAGAGAAAGGGGGCCCTGAATTTTTTTTTTTTTTTAAACTGTGCTATGTATGTGTTTTCTTAGGGAAGATCCAATTTTGAGACACCTGCATCCACTTTAACCTTCCCTTCTTTGTGAGCCCTGCTTTTGCTACCAGCCAATTAGTGGGCTCAGGAGGACATTCTGGGTCAAGCTATACCAAGTACCGCAAATCCTCATTAACGCTAATTAGTGCTCAGTAGGTTAATTGGTGGTGAAGCTCATCTTTTTTTAATTACTTGAGCAAATGAGCCAGTGGGACCTTGTGGTCAGCTTTGAATTATTCTGTTTGTTTTGATGCACTTCATTTGAATGTGTAAAGCCAGATGTTTGTTGCCTAGATTTAAGGGCTGTTTGCTTTTATGAGGGATGAGAAGAAGGGAACACAGAGAAATAAAATGAAGGTCTCTGTTGACAGCTTAGAGCAATTCAGATACAACAGTGAAAGAGTCATTTTATTCATGGAATGGAAAATATTGTTATGAAATAACATGCTGCCTTTAGTTTACCTTTTGATTTGTCGTTCACTTAATGAATTCGTGTAATGTTGTTAGCGCAGACTTCCAGGCAGACAGAAATAATCTTGACCCTCTTAGGAAGACATTGCAAGGGTATTCCTGCACAAGGTATTCTTTATTATTGATAGCAACTGAATCTGGTTTCAGATGACTTGAGTAGTGACTTTTTTTTAATCCATTTTTTCATAGTAACCCTCCAAACTGGGACATTTTTTATAGTTTTTGTTCTAAGCTACTATTTGTTTTGTTTAGTTCAAAGCATTTTGTCCGTGTCCTTTGTCCTTCATATAATTATAGAAAGATGGTGTCTCACCCTTACCCCTTCTGCGGTCACTAACTAACCAACTTAAGCATCTTTCACTGTCACTTTCCAGGTCACTGACTCCCATAAGGATGTCGGGGTTTGTGAGTCCTTCCATTCTGACACCATTTTGAGGTCCTGACTATGAACACAACTATAGCCAATATCCAGAGTATGATCTCTTATCCTTTTGCCTCAATGCATCTTAAGATGCCATCCTTAGACCCCATGGGAGGGCTTAGGCACTGGCTGTGAGTCACTGGAAAGCAGAATTAACACTTAAAATCATGGCTAATACTCAGGATTGGTTTATGAGCAATATTTCTGTGAGCAAGGCCTAACCTGGTGCCTGCGAGTCTGACGTAATCATTAGTTTCGCATCAAAGTGTGAGGGAGACTGAGAAGTCTTCACTTTGTTACCTGTTTGTAGCAGACAAAAACCTTTTCTGAGAGCAGGGACTCAGTTGGTATCAGTGTAAACACTTAAGAAACCCACTTCACTTTTCTTTCTTTCACAGGCTTGTATTGGGAGAGCGAATATCTGTTAATGAATCAAATACTCATCCATTTCAGGAGAGTTGTGCTGCATTTACCTCTATGTATTAAGAGCTCATTTTATAGTACTTGATTTGCAGTCTGTTTCATCATCCCTTGCACTTAAACCACAAATGCTCTAATTCTTCCATGAGTTTTTCTTTCTCTGCATAGATATGATCCAATATAATTTCCCAAATGGGAAAATCAGATGTGTCTTCAGTTTTGAAATTGTTGATTATAATTAACAATATCAAAGGTAGTCTAGCTTTGGCTTCCTTAGATCTACAATGTGTCACTCATATTCAGAAGTCCCTTGATGGCATCCTTTCCTCCACACATTGCCTGAGGAGCTAACCATTATTGGCCTGTAGCAGATACCATCCTGTACTTCATCTGTTGCTGTGTGGTAGAGAGGCATATGAAGAATTTGTTCTTCATGCCTTTTGCTGTTATGGATAATTCCATTCTCACTGTAAGAATTTTGTGGCAGATGTTGCTCATTTGTCCCTTAGAACAAGTATTTTTGATCAGTTTAGGATTCCTTTTTTAAGCCGTCTATCCAAAACCACTTTCCGGTTCTCCTACTGAGATGGGAAGGACCCTACCTGTATGTTGTTTTTTACCTGCAGAATATGAACAACTATTCCACTTCTGCCATTCACAGGACAGCAGTAGATTCAGACAGTGTTTCACTACACTTACCAGTCAGTGAACTTCCAAGTTACCCAGTAGTCCTCCACAATCAGTGGGAGGTTGTACAATACAGCATTGCTAGTTGACACATCCACTGGTAATGATTGATTCTTCAGGCTGTCAACTTTGTAAGCCTGTTGAAGGTTAGAGAAATCTCATGTCTTGCTTCATGCCTGCCATCCCCTTACCGGGTGATTTCTATTATGCTGCTTGTTTTGAGCAGTTGGAGATTTCTTTGTGTACATACTTGATTTTCTTACAGCCAGCTGGTCTTTGGGTTTTTTAACCAGTTGAATCTTCCAAGATTGTTAGAAGTTTCCATGCTGTAACCCTGGTTTTAGTGGACAACTGCGATCCTTTCTTCTTTGAACACATGCATATCTCATGATCCAAGAGCTCTTAAAGGTTGTTTGACACTCTCAGTTGGTATCTATAGTTTTGCTTCCACACCCATTATTCTATTTTATATTGAGGGAATACTACTGACTGCAGGTGGGGAAAGCAACCTGGCATATCTGTTGCAGCTGTAATTCTGTGCCAAGGGAAGGAGGGGAAGAGACCAAGTGTCTGAAAATGCTGACAGTTTGTAAAGATTTTAAGGAGGGGTCCATAGGCCGTAGAAGTTTCTAGTTCAGGTGCCTGAGCACACAGGAGACCACAGGAAAAAGAGAAGGATTCCTCCCTTTCTTTTGTGGACATCTCATTATGCACTGAACAGGGGACTGTGAGCCTGGATAATACCCTAATGGACTATTGAGTGGAATATAAGCCTGCATGGCTAGATTACATATTATAGGCATCTCAGAGGTTCTTTGGTTACTTTCTTGTTTGAAGTTAGCAAACTGCTTCAATGAAAGGGAGTTGTTTGTTTAAAACTGTTGTAAGCTTGTTGACAGCAGCAGCTGTGCTTGCTGGGATTTCCATTCCATATACCAAATGTATGTGAATTTGTAATCTAATCCAAGAAAGATATCGATGTTGGCGTTCAGATGTGTATCCAGGTTTGCAGCATAACCAGTGGAATTACTGCTTGTGAATAAAGATGTGAAAGAACAAGCAGACTGTGAAAACGGAAACACAGTGTAAATGTGGTGCAAATGGGGTAAAGACACTGCAAGGAGCTGCACTAGCAAACAGATCCCGTTTATGCACTGACTCCATCTCAGTGTTAGGAACAAGGGTGAGATGGGAAAAAACAACCCAATTGCAGAGGCACTTTGAACTAAAATAGACTGTAATATCTTTTTAAAAATAATCTGATATGTAACAGTTATTTGAGGCTCCAGTGCAATGAAATTTGGACACCTACATTATTTTAAAACCCTATTGAACTCAATGGGACTTCTGTACGTAATTAAGTGCTTTGAAAGGTCAGGATCTTAGCTATTGTTTGTTAGTTCTGGAAATAAAGTTCTTGATGAAATGAGTTGTGTTTTTAATAAAAAACAGAGTGGAGAGTCTCTAATGATTTGTGTATATCTGTTAAACCTATTGTAAGCATACTGTATTTTGCACCTTAAGTTTTTATTTTTACATTCTGTAAATTCAGTAATAATTTTTCAGGCCTTTGACAGGAACTGTCAAAAACCGAAGGGGTTTTTAATCAAAACCTGGGTAGAAAGTTTTCTTTGCAGGATGGGAGGTGGAAATGAGCATGTTCTTTCGAAGACAGAATTAACTATGGGTCCCACCTTTGGTTGCTTCAGGCCCTTTTGCAGGTGTGATAGAAGCCTTTTACCATGTGCTAAGCCACAATGCTTTGCTCCTTCTCTCTAAGGCAGTTTGTGGGTGCCATGATTCATGTACGTAATATTAAAGAGAAATCTCCTTTTTAATGTTCCATGTCACTTGATGTCAGACTTCCAGTATGGTTTGTAATAACTTACAGGCATCAGGCATTCAGAAATCACAATGATGGTATTAGGAATGGATTAACTAAATGTAAACTTATACAAAGTGGCCTTAGAAAGGAGGAGTTTCCATTAGTAGAGAGTTCTCTTGATAATGTGCAGTTTAAAGAAAGAAAATTCTTTTTCATGCTACAGCCATCTTAAATACTGACAAATTCAAAGCTGCCAAGTACTTTAAATACAGTTAACTTTTACCTTGAAATTATCTGGTTACTCACTAGTATGTTTTTTTTTTTCTCTCCCTCAGCGTGAACGAACGTGATCATTTGTTAAAAAGGCTCGGCAGGAAAACTCCTCCAAGCCTTTTCCGTGCTCATTCTGTCCAGCAAAGTGTATCACGTAAGTAGCGGATCATGTATGCATGTGTGTTTCACGGCAGTCAGTCCCAGATGAGTGAAGCGACTGGTGATTATTTTTTAATTAAATTGTAGGTAGAGATAATCTAGTGCAGAGGCTGAGCTGCCAAGCAAGACACATACATTTGGAAGTGGAATTAGTGTATTTGGCCCTAGGCAAGTAGAGCTCAAATGTGGATAATTCCCTAGGATCCAATCAACAGGCCCAAATGACAAAATCCCAATATGCAGGTTCTCTAAATGTGAAATCCTGATAGTCTCAAGAATACTGTAAAATCAAAAACTCTGCAGGATAAAATAAATGTTGTGATAGAGCCTAGCTTAAATAGAAATGGTTTCTTTATGAAAAGTCGTATTAGCTGTGGTTAGCTGAGAATACAGCGATGTTTCAGGGATGCTGTTATAGGGGTTCTCTGTGGTTCTGATGAGGAAAGCCATGGCGTGCGGAGCTGCCTTTCTCCTCTCCCTCTTTGTCCTCTGCTGGGAGAAGAGATGCAATGTCACATCTTGCTACTGCTGCTATTTGGAATTAATTGCATTTCCTGTTAGTGCAGAAGTCATCCATTTATTCATCTTCCTAGAGGAATGTGTGACAGGCCTTGATCTGCTGGACCTGCCCTTTTTTTTTCAGTGTTAGAAAGGCTTCCACAGCATTAAAAATAGTCTAACAGCTCTGTAGGCCGGATACACTGAAGAACCATGCTGTCTGGAGGGACCAGGGGGTCCAGTCAACCCTTTCTAGTGGTAAAACGCAGTCTCTCTTGTGATTAAACTTGCGGTAGAAATATGCTCATCTTACTAAAGAAAATAGGCCCCCAGCCTGCAGTGCTGCTGCGCACAGGGCAAGGAGCAGGCACTCAGGATTTGGGGTTCATACTGCTGTTGCAGTGAGAAGTGACACCCCTGGCTGTTTAAGAATCCCAGGAAAGGCGAATCTCATTGCTGCTGTGCCATCTTCTGTAGCAGAACTGTTGTGGTTCAGGCCATAGTGGCAGGGCTGGGATTTGAGAACCCAAATGCCTGAGGTATTCCTGTTTTCCATAGGGAATTTGACTAGAAGGGGTGGAACAGTGACGGATCTCCTAGTCTTTGTCCTTCATAGAGTCATGGCAAGGCCATCACTGTCAAGGGATGTAGGGTCTTTAGCGATCAATCCTGTTGCTCCTGGGAAAAGAGGCCGGTGTGCAGAGCAGCCTATGGACTGTGAGCTCCTGCCAGGATTTAATCCTCTGTGTCAAGGAGCCAGGGATGCTGGCGGCAGCATGGCTTTGGGCATGCAAATGCACTCTTTGAGGAGATTCCAAAGGCAATGATTGGCAGAAGAAATCTGTAAAAATGCATAAATAAATTGCTATTAAAGTAGCCTGCTGTAGAGACTTAACATGGTGCGGAAGGGAGATACGCCAGTGGTGACTAGTCAGACTTGATACATGCTTTTAGTCTGGTAGAACACATCATCAGGTTGTTGGTAGGTGAATAGCTATTGGGAAAGAAAAATGAGATAGCAAAATAAATGCTAATTTGGATAAGCAGCTTCCCTATAAATGCAAATGATTAAGTGCTAAATGAGTCAGGCCACTCAGGACAGGTTACAGTCAGCTGTCTGTTTTTCACATGAAGATAAGTTTTGGTTGTGAAGCTGTTAGGATTGAAAGACACTTTTTATGGCGTATCTATGACTCTTTAAAACTTCTGTCATCTCTTGTCAAATGTTATTTTCCAGTGTTGCATCGCTGCTATAAGTACAAGGCCACATGAAATCCAGGGAACATATGTACTGTTTTCACAACCCTAAATTGTACAACTGTTTACTAAATGCTAGAAATCTTCAAAGCAAAGCATTGATGAATAGGGCAGTAGCCTTGACATGCTGGGCCAGTATCTTAAATCACACTACAAGCACTCTGTTTGAAGTCTTGAACTGTTCATATGTTTCTACCAGGCTCCAAGTTCCCAGCCTGTGAAGGCCACTTCTTCCAAAAATTGCTTGTGTGACTTCAACTCAGAATCTGACACTTGCATATAAAGCAGGAAAATGGTTTGTTTAGTTAGAGCTGACAAAGGCTTAAGCAAGTCAATTGCCTTGGTCCCAAGAAGGAAGGAAAATGGAATTAAATTTCCTAGCACAGATTGTGAAGATGCAGTACTGGTTTGAGAGTCACTTTATTTTTTACAACAGCCAAATTTTTGGAGAGGAAACAATGCCTAAATAGCTTTGTTTTCTATCACATGGAAAGGAGAAAAATCTCATGGGGAGTCTCAGGGCTGCTACTAGTGGTCTATGGTGGGAGGAAAAAGATGACTGAGCTGAGTCTGCAGACTCCTGTATCGAAAGGCAGGAGCTCAGTCTCTGTGTTTCCTTAGCTCTCTGTTGGTGAGCCAGCCTCTCTCCAAAAGCATTAGCACAAGACCTTCAGGCAGGTTGCATGGCTGGAGTGCTCCCATACAGCACCGGGCTCTGGCAGATCCAGCCCCCAAAGTGGGGGGCAGAGCCACACAGCCAGTGCCATGTCAGTGCCATACAGGAGTGCCAGCCAGGATTAATCTCTTAAACGCCTCCTCCCAGTAAAGAAACGGGCTCAGAATGACTGCCTTGGAGAGTAGCCCCTGTGCATCTGGAAGGGTATGCCCTTAAAGTGTGCAAGACCTTCATGGCTGTTTTTCTTGCTCTGGCTTTGGTTTTGTGTTCCTGAATCATGTAGAGCTGTCAGAAGAATGAAAGAAATCTGTCTACTAACTGTACTGTCAAAGATCATGCGGTTCCTTCCTACCAGTGTAACTTCTGGGAAGCTTTATGAAAACTTATGAAAAAAAAAAAAAGGTGAAGTTCCTGTTGGGTGGCATTGTCATAAGACTTTACTGGAAGAGTTTTACACGGTTGTCAAGCCCATGTGCTAAGATAGAACCATCTCAGTGGAATCTTGTAGGCAGTGGTGACAACACTGGCCTCCAGGCTTGGTGTAGCTCCTGGTGAAGATGCCTGGTGAAATTGGAGACTGTGTGCTGCCATCTGCTTTCTAAAGCCTCTCAAGAGCGAGCAGGAAGTGTCACCAGGCTCCTCTCAGGTGTGTCTTTGGACCCTTCCCTTTAGTGTCCCGTGGGGTTCACACTCGAGGGAAGGAGCAATAATGACTCCCAAAAGCTCTCCTTCTCAGAGGGTTTGCTGGCAGTGAGGTTTTGTCCAGGTGAGCTTTCTCCGAGTCTCCATCCAAGTTCATGTCTTTTTTTTTTCCTGTGACTTTGTGAAAGTAGCATCTCCTTTAGACAAGCTCTGTAGATACAAAAGATGGTTCTTGACCTCTCCTTTCTTCCTGCATGACTGACCTGTATCACCTGTGCCCCCAGAGCCTCACCAGCAGGATCAGAAGGGTGACGCTCCCCACTTGCTCAGGTACCCTTAGACCCATCTGTCTTTAAGGAAAGTGCCATACCATTCCTCTAGCGCAGTTTCCCTCCTGTAATTCAGAGTACCCCCTGCCAGCGTTTAGTTGTCATTTGTCTCAGCATGCTCTTAAAAACAGCTGAATCCCACTCTTGTTAAGCACTGCTCTGACAGAACTCTGCCCGAAATACAGAGAGCCGTGCCTCAATGAGGATTACTGCACTTGGCCCAGATTTCCTATGCTAGCAAAGAGAATTCCTCTTCCTTTGACAGAATATGGTGATTGTGTAGAGTAAATCTGAACGCAGAGCGTATGGTTTGCACCTTATTAATCACTGGAGAAAAAGTACCTGTCATCTGAGGTTCATTTCACAGTACGGGGGCTGGCAAATAATAAATAATAATAATGTGTTCATGCTGAGGGCTCTAATCCCACCATTTATTCTCCACTAGCAGACACCTTCTTCCTCTCACTTTTGTGCTGGTGCATTTTGATTTGAAAAACAACAGGGTAGCTACTTGAGACATTTTTTAAACTCTATTTCCTCTTATCTTGCATGTGTTTGAAATAGTATGCATTCTGTATTTTTTCCAAGCTATGTATTTGTTGACTGTCAGGTGGAGTTGCAATCTTTTAAAATCAACTTAAGAAAAAGAAATAGGAATAATTAGTTTAGAATTGATGCTGTGGCATCTGGCTCTGTTTTCTACGTGCAAATACCAGTAGGTTAGTATCTGGGACGAAAGAGATGGGACCATTTGTCAGGAATTCCTCTTGGGTCCTTTAGAAAACACAGGCATAGTTTATCAGCAGAGAAATTAATGATTTCTGTAAGCATGAGTCAAAATGTTCGAGATTTAAAACAGCTCTCACTTTCCCAGGATAAGGGGAAGGGGGTTGCCGGGGAAGTCAAAGCTGAGTTAGCATTTACTGTTTAATTGGTAAATGTGAACTACATCATCATAGTAAATCTCCTTAAAAACTGTGCAGAACCAGACATTTGGCCTGAGAGAGAATTTGGCTGGCCCAGTGATACCCTAATGTTGACTTTTCTTATGTCAGAGAGATTTTTGGTATCTAAGCAGCAATATTTCCTAAAAGAGATTTTAAAAAAAAAAAAAAAAGCCTCTCCCATCCCCCCAAACCCTAAAACTTAATTTCAGTGGATTTGAATATGAGCATTTTTCTCCAAAGGCAAACAACATGATGGTAAAATGCATTTTTTATACTTTGGACTAACTGAACCATAATACCACTGCATATATGAAATAGTGAAATGCTGTGGAAGGCAGCATTTCTGACAGGCTTCCAGTAAGAACTGCCTTCTTGCTGGTTGGGGCAGACAATCCAGGTGTATCAGAGGAGAGTGCAAGGAGTAGGAGGAAGCCTCTAAAATAAATCCCTGAAGTGACTAAAACTGTATGTAGTCCTTCCATGAGCAGATTTTTCTGGACTAAAAAAAGTGCCCTGGACCCTTTCTGGTCCCAGTCTTAGAAGCTGTTGCATGCTGAGTGGGCTGTTGAGCTTGTGCAGCATTACTGTCTGTGTTCAAGACACATGCATGAAGATGGTTTCTCTAATCCAGGATTGCACAGACCAAAAGAGTCATTGCAGTGAACAGAAAAAGAGTGTGTTAAATTAGAAACCTAATGGGAGACTAGATTCTGATCTACTAATAGAATAACAAAGCTTTAAAAAAACCCAACAGGATGCTTTTAAAATTCAGTAGGTTGGCTGATAATATCTGGTACGAGTGAAACCTTAGATTTGATGAGAACGTGAATCTCCCCTTAACAAATGAGCCCCACTGATGGATATTCAAAAGCGCGCCTTTCCTCCGTTAATAGAAAGTCTCTGAGTACAAAGGTCCTTCCTTCTGTGACGGCCGTGTGTGGGTTGTGTCCAGAAAGCCCCAAAGAAACGTGCTCCTTCCTTGGGCTGCTGCAGGACAGCTGAACAATGAGGTCCTTGTTCCCAAGGCAGGCTCATAGGTGTGGTTTTAAAACTGGAGTTGGGGGAAAAGTTCAAACTTCCGAAAAGTTTACTAGTAACTGGCAGATGGAACCTTCCATTGTTTTTGGATGGGGTCTGAAAATAGTGGAAATGTAGAGCTGCTTGGGGAGTGCAGATGGGGCTAGAGCATTCACAGCATTCTGACTCCACAAGGCACAGTCAGCTGCCTAAACAGCTTGAAGCGCAGTTTTAATTGTAACGTGAATAAAAAAATGTAATATGACTCATCTTCCTGTATAGAGATCAACAGGAAAAGTTTTAAATAAACTGCCAAATGTTGAGCTTCAACTAAGTAGGGCAGTGTGCTAGTGTGGGGGTCACAGCCTTTCCCATGATGTACACACAAAACCCTCATAGCTGATATTTCAGAGTGGATCAAGAACATGAGGATGTAAGGATACCCCTGGTATTCTTAACCGTTGACCATCATACCCTGAAATTTTTTGCCATGTTAAGGTGTTTTCCACTGGTGTGAGAATGGTGAACGTCTGTCTTAGATTGCATTTTGCATTGGCTTTGCAGAGTGCTTGGGCTGCCTGGCTGTTCATAGGCCTGTGCTAGTACTGGAAATAAGCAGATCATGGGATACCTGGGGTTGATGGGCTCCACACACTCGTGTGGTCAGTGCTGGATTTGCAGTAGTTATGGCAGTTGAAAAATCTACTGTGCTGAATGATCTTACTGGATAAGTAAATATAGCAAAGCCATCTTGATGCAGAGTAGGTTATGGGGCATGGGCTTCAGTCTTTCAGGGCTTAAGCTTGTGGTCTTTGACCAAGTTGACTTTTCCTTTGACAATTTAGCCAAAAAGCTAACAGTATGCTGGCCTTTAGCATGGAACAAACCCACTGGAGGTATTTGTTTAAGTGTGAATCTACTCTTTTTAAAATGAAAGCCTGTTTTGTAAATCCTATTTCCTTTGCAGTTATCCAGCACGCACATACTTTTTTCCAAAAGACTGTTTGCATTTTGTGAATGTATTCCGTGAACCTTCAGCTAGAGGCAGGAAAACCCAACCTGCACCTCTGTAGCTGTATGTATATTGGCATGGAATATGCTCGGGGAAAATAAAAACGGGATGCTGGGATGATCAGTCACATAATCAAATCAAAGTTCATACTGTTCTGCAATCACTCCAAGAGGGACATGTGATGAGTTAGTTCTGGATGATGTATTTCTGTTTGAATCCCTTCCATTTACTGGCAAAGATTTCCTACCATGCTTGTGATTCAGGTCAGCTAACCTCCTGCTCTTCTGCTAAGGGAGCCTGTGTTCTGCCTTAAGAGCTCAAATCTACAGCAAAGTCCCTGTGGCTTCAGAGGTGACATTTACCCGCATTCTGTGAGAGAGAAGACCCTCCTTATTACTTGAACAGTGGTCATCCCTAGAGTTGTAGGACTCCTTTCCCAGCAGCTTACAGCTGTATAGGAGTTGCTGACCACCTTCCCTGTGCAGGCATCAGCCAGAGGAAAAGATCTAGGAGTACTTGATCATCTGTGCTCGGCTCACACGGTCCCAACTTGGTTGTCAAGGTGAAGGTTTAACAGGCCTCACTCAGGGGATACAGTTCATTTCTGGCCTTTTGGGCTTCTCCTGGCTACTAACGTCGGTCACCTGCTTCAAAGCAGGCTGCATTCATGGGGCCATGGGGAGCAAGTTCAGTCTCCAGCACCAAGCTGCTTAGGGGCCTCACATCCCTCCTTCCTTAAGAAAGGTGTTCAGCCCCCTGTGCCTTTCTGTCACAGGGTCCATTTGTTGTGCTCCAGCCTTATCTCACCTCAGGACCTGATCTAGCGTGGGGAATATGCCTTGAGCCTGTTAAGGGAGGACTCCTGAAAGACATTTGCTAGGTCTCTGGGTAGTAATTGGGACATCCGTCCTTATGTGATGCTGCATCTTTCAGCCTGGGGTGTGTCTGGGGCAGGATTTCAGAATTCACAAGCTCCTGCTTCCCGATCTGCTCAGGGGTGATGGAGAGTTGCCCATGGGGAGTTAGCCATGGTATAATTCTTGGGTTCTCCCAGGCAGCATTCATGCCTGCCAACTCTTGCCTGCTTTCCTACTACAAAGCATTATCTGGTTCTGTATAGCCCGTGACTTTCCTATTTCTCCATATTTGTAACTGTGCTAATCTGCTGCCTTTCTACTTTCTGGTTACCCATTTACACCTGAAAAATCACCTTTCCTTGGGTGTCACAAAGTCTGTTGTCCTTTGCTGTAGTTTTCCATTCAGAATTTTCTGTAGGGTCATGTCTGCTTCAAGTATTGTTTGGTATTTCACCATGTTGGCCCGCTAGCTTTTGTGACTGTTTTACCAGTAATGCGGTGTTTTGCAGATGATGTCAGAAATGTCACTTGCCTTGTCCACAATACTTTAAAAGAAATCAGACACGTGGCTATTTTCATCTGAGTAATTTCTAGGGAGACCAAAGGGTTGTGCTAGCTAGCAGGATTAACTTGTGCAAAACAGAGACCTCCAGAGTATGTTTAAGAAAACTCTATTCAAGATATGGGTGATTGGCCAAGAGAATCAAGAGTTTCTTGGTGTGATTTGTCAGATCCCACCTGGAAACTTGTAAAAAGAAAAGAAAAAAAAAAAAAATTCCTCAGTGGAGTTGAGGAAGATGTGACTCAGATCCAGCTGTGGTCTAGACATTTCCATGTTCCTCCAGGGAAACTGCTGATATCAAGTAGACTATAGAGTCATCGAGCCAAAATGCAAATCTCTACCTGTCTGTTAAGTCTTTAAAGAAGCTCTGCCACTATGGGGGTACACATGGTGTCCAAATCAATCTGTAGCTTATTAGTCAGGTTAGCTCGGAGGGAAATGGTGACTGTGTACACCAACCTGGCCTGGGGAGGGGAGCAGTAAGACAGAGCTGGCAGCGAACATACTTTCTGTGCCACGTAGGCAATGTAGTGCACAGCTATAAATGTTAGGAGTGCAGCATAGAAATGAAGATTGTTGTAGACTCGGTCATGTAACTTTAGTGATGCCTAAAACTGTTCCTAAAAATGGGCTGTGCCCTTGAGCTGGACTCCAGTGACTTATTTTTTTTCTTCCTTTGCTTTTTCAGATGGGTATGCGTTTTCTCAAGAAGAACACGGTGTTGTTTCCCAGTCGCAAGTTGTTCGATCCTACGATACAACCAAAAGGAGAGCAGAAATAGAATAAATGGTTATGTACTTGATGGGTGGTGGGAATAATGGGATTTGCATCAATGCATCCACTGTTAACACATGCTTGACTAGGGTTGGCGGCAACAGCCAAAACACCAGAGAACTCATTTCTGTGGCCTTAGCCAACAAGTTTCTGTATTCTCCTTGCAAACCTTGAGTACATATTGTGGGGGGAAATCATTGTTTGAACTCAGTCACAAAGCTCTGCCTGAAGTTTTGTTTATGTTGATATGAAGCATTTGACTGTACTATGTGAGGTGTGAAATTAAAAACAATGTTTTACCACTATTTAAAACATCAGCATAAGGTCGTTCTGGGAGAAAAGTAGAAAATTTATGTTCCATGAGAAATCAGCCTTTGCTTAATTGGAACGGGGTGCTGAGATTTCCTGTTGTGTTACACACAGACCAAGTGCACATGGCTTCATGCAGACCTTACTCCCTCTAACATTCACTGTTTACTAATTTGGCTGAAATTTTTAACAGACAATTTGGTATAAAATTTTTGATTGCAACACAGTCTGTAGCTAAAAATGCTTATTTGCCTTCTCATGACAGAATAACACATGATAGCAATGAATTACTTAGGATATTTCTTGCCCTCTTACAGGATTTATTAGGGCTCTATCTTAGCTTTCTAAAACCCAATTAATAGCTTACTCACAAAGCCAGGATGTGGAAGTTGGAGAGCTCGGCAGGGCAGCTCTCTTGAGTGTATGGCATTGTGCACAAAGATGAAATCAAATTGAACAAAACAGTGAAAACTTAGAAGGTACAGGCTTGTCAGATGTTGAGAAAGAAGATGTGCATCTGCACAGGAGGCTGATACTGAACCCTAAAGAAGCATTCCCCTGACCAGGTAGGATAGGCTTGCAAAGGAGAGTTAGGAAGAGTTTACACACGTGCATGCACACACATGTACACACACAGAGCTGGTCATTGTGAAGAGAAGACCTGTTGTTTGTTTGTTCAGCCAAACCAGTCCCTCTTCTAGATCTGATCCATCAACAGGCTTCCGGACACACTCAGACCCGTGAGCCCTGGAAGGAATGCTGGCTTCACGGCCTTGCTGTGCCAGTGGGACAGGCATGCTGCTGCATAGATTGGAATTTTGGAAAAAAGCAAAAACTGGAGCATAAGTTAAAGCTGAAAGAGCTCTTAGAAAGCTTGTGCTGTTCTCCAGACAAGTTCTATTAATTTTAGTTGCCAAGCCATGTTTCTGAGTAGCATAAAGTAAATACTGCTGTGTTTTAGCCAGGTTTTGTGGTTAATGTATATACTACATTTGTGCATTTAAGAAGTTGGCATTGTTTTTTGCCCTATTGACTGTCACTCGGAACTTTTTGTTGATATAAATATATCCAAAAGCAATTTGAATATGAATATTTATGTTTAGCAACAAAAAGGAAAACGCCAGCCTGGCCCACTGGCTTAATCTTCCTTAAGGGTTGTGAGTAAATGCCAGTGCTCAAGTGTTGTAGTTCAATTCCCAGTGCTGCCTCAGAGGCTCGGAGTCCCCTTCCACATTAAAAAGCAAATTTTGCTCCTGCAGGACCAGGCAGGATTGCTCTTGGATTAGGCTGATGGCACAGAGGGAAAAGTCATCACCTTCTTTCTCCAGTGCTAATGAGACAATTATGCAATAAGGGAAACGTGCAAATAATTTTGCCATAGGCATGAATGTCAAGGGGCCAAGTGTGGGTGTATGTGTTTTCTGGGAGATAAATTTTTTTTAAAGGCATGAACACTGGTGCAGAGAATAAATAAGGGGAGGGTAAACCTGATCCCAGGAGCTTTTAAATCTTAATGCTGATCTAACCTGTTAAACACTTCCTTTTATTTAGAAACAAAATCTGTTTAGGAAATGTGTGGTGTAAGCCTGTCCTCAAAACTGCTAACTCTTTCTTCCTTTTGTGACACCACAATGAAAATTAACTTCCCACCGAGACAAAGCGAGATCAGCTTAGTCTTTGTACTCTAAGTCACACACTAAACATTAGTATGTAAACAATTTGGAAGCTTTTCATGAGGATACAGAAAAAAAACTTCTAAAAACCTCTGCATAATGAAGAAGGGCAAGTAAATGTGTTGAGCAGAGAATAGAAAGGATCCTGGAGTCTTTTCTGTTCTTAACTTAGTGCAGCAAAATTTTACAGAACATAATGAGAGATGCTGGGGAGGAGCAGCTGTCATCGAATGTGATTTATTTTATTAGTGCAGACTATGGGCTGTATCATTTTGACCTCTCTGTAAATTGAGGTCAGTGTGTGTCACAAACACAAACCCTCCCTAGAGTGAATAGTGGCTTAGGTTGAGGTACGTGTGTTGGATGTCAGCTCAATGGGAATTACACATGGGGTTTGTCACAGGGCTATACAGTATGTGACAATGGGGCTAGCGGGTCAGACTTTATCATCACTGTAAGGCCTTAATCTCTAGCTGAGTTAATCCTGTAGAGCCCACCCAGGTCAAGACCTGGCATTCTTCTTGTTCTTCGGCGTCATTACAGGAATTAATGTATTGTAATATGCTGTAGCCTGGCTGTTGGAGTTGCTTGTCTGGGGGAACAATGGTGAGGTGTATTCTGGTGGTGTGTTAGCAAAAGGAGAATGGCAGCTGCTCTGCATCAACAGAATTCCTTGTTCATTAACACAAATGCATGTAGCAGTAACAGCAACCTTTGAAAGCGCTATGTGAAAGTGTTACCGACTAGACAGGGTATCTGAGCAGAAGGAATGGGAGATTTCTGCTTGACTGTCCAGACTTAACAACCTAGGGTTGATCAGAAAAGGGTTTCTTGGGCAGCTCTCGGCACTGACCAAAGTGGTGGTGGAGGGGTTTGAATATTTAGAAGGAAGCGGTGATTTTTCTGAATTAAACCTGGCTCTAGTTGCTGCTTTTTGTAGCGCCATAATCGCTGCTTGCCTAGAAGCTGCTGTTCCTTTAATGATTGCCTAGTAGCAAATTAAAGCTGGTGAGCAGGAGCCTGAGCTGAGCACTGCTGAGAAGTCTGTTGACATTCTCTTTTCCTTGACAGGGTTTCAGGTCTTGCTGTGGGGAGCTAACATGGGAAGTCAGTAATAACTTGTCAAGGAGAAACGGTGAATAACCAATAAAAGTATCTGAGTCGAACTAAGCTGCTAATGTATCTAAAAATGTGTGTGGAGTTAACATGAACTATATGGGCTGTAAATTAAGATAACAGTCAAGCCTCGCTAATCTGCACTTCACTAGACCGCACGCCTCTTAGTGCATGCCAAAAATGTGCAGTCTCTTCCCCTGCCTCAGCCAGCAGCTAATAGCAGATGCTGCAGGGAAGTCTCCTGTTACCAAGATTACATTATTTTACAGCATGTACTGGACTGTGTTTGCTCATAAATAAAGAAGAGAAAGCTCAGGTGGACCAGAATAAGTGAAATGCAGGGACTGTGACATGGTCAGTGGCCACACTGGGTGCAACTTGGCCCTCTGTGCACAACCCCAGGAGCTTGAGAGGTGCATGGTCCTTATGCTGTCCCTGTCCTGCAGGCTTGTTTTGCCCTTTTGGGCTAACTCACCAGATCTGCTGGTTTGCATTGCCTCCAGTCATCAGTGCAGACTAGCGATGCCCTATTTACATTCTCCCTTGGTTTTATAAATAATGACTTAATTTCATTTTTTAATATTCTGAGGACTGTACTTTTGCTGTTATGCCTCACAGCTCAAGTTTGAAGCAGAGCAGCCCTTGAGCAGGTGTTCACCCCTGAGAAACGCTCTTGGATTTGTCAGATTTCTCCCTAGTTTTAAGGCACTGAGGATATTTTACCTTTTGGATCATCACATGGTATCAATGCCTTAAACTTCAGTCAGTTTGCAGGGAGAGCTCTTTGTGCCTTGAGTCTAACGATAAACGGTGGTGATATGAAGTACCTGATGGGTTGGAGGAGAATTTGGCTGTGTCTATGCTGTACCTGATGCACCTGGGTAGCCGCTTGCTTCTGAACCGTGGCGTGCTTCTCGGTCTCCAGACAGGTGCGCTCCTTCTGTCCTACCGGGAAGGACCCTTGTACTCGGCTCTTCCAGAGTCTGTCTATGCTGCAGCTCCACACCTCCTCAAGGATGCTGAGCACCAAGCAGATCCAGACCCTCCTCCCTACCTTGTACCTGCAGGGTCCCCTAGGCACAGCCCTGAGGCTGTCCTGCAGGCAGCTGTTAGAGGCACAGCCAAAGTGCCTATCAAATGGGGAGAGTTTTGAATTCATATCAAGTGTCGTTCCTAGCCGTAACTCATAATTGTCACTGCAGACAGTGTAAAGAGGTATACAAGAGATGTAGACTGAGCAGGTTATGAATCTGATGACTGGACTTGCACGCGGCCCATTCCCATCCCACCAGTCAGGCCCTGTGTGAGCAACTGTGTCACTTGGCGAGTGAGTGAACAGGCAACAACGCTTCTCTTTAGCGTGTTGCTTATTTGCAGCCATGTCACTGTTCCTCAGAAACCCTCTGTGCAGGAGCTCTGTCCCACGTCCTGCTCCGAAGGGCAGCTCTCCAGCCAGGCTGAGAGAGGCAGCCCCAAGGAGCTGCCCATTCCATAACATGGTGGCATGGTTGTCTTTGTATCGTAGATGGTGGCTGGTGGGACTCTGCTGGCAGCAGCAGGGGTAAAACAAGCTGCTCCAGGAGCACAGCCCCTGCTTCTTTGGAAATGACCTGTTAGTGCTGACATGGCCTGAGCTTTCAGACAGGTAGTTCCTTCTGGAGCTTATTCTTCCTGGTGCAGAGCTTTCTGGGTTGACTGCAAGCAATTCCTGTTAGAATAGAGTGAAGCATACTTTTATGCATTTTCTGTACTATACACAAAAGGCTCAGTGCTTTGTTTGGTGAAACCATATGAGCTGATAATTTTTTTTTTTTTTTTTTCTCCTTAGAGTTTTCTCTTTCTGTATGGGGTTGGGGCAAGTCTCCTTGGTTTGATTACACAGTTAACACAGCCCTGTTCCCGTTTTACTTTCAC